CAGCAGTCGTAACCTGCCCGGGCTGCGCTGCGTCCCCAAGGGATGGTGACCAAGTCCAACCAGGTGTGACTCCGGCTGCCTGCATCTCCACAGATCATTGTAGTCCTAGTCCGGGCTGCATCCCTCCCTGGGAGGGCAGCCCCGGGGGTCGTGCAAGACAGCTGAGCAGAGGGCTCCCATCGTGGCAGGGTTCCAACGAGCCCAGAGAACTCATCGTATGAAAATGCCCAAACCTTCTCCTGGTTTCCTACTGTGGTTTGTTGGCTTTTGTTTCCCTCTGTAGAATCAAACTGAAGAAAGCCAAGTCTATCCGGGAGAAAATGAGAGAGGCCGGAGTGCTACAAGACTACCTGAAGAAAACTCACTATGATCCAGCTAAGAAATACCGCTTCAGTGGGGACTACGTTGTGAACGAGCCCATGACTAGCCACCTGGATGTGAGTACCCCAGGTTCCCCTCTCGCTGCCTGTCCGTACACCAGGTTCCCCTGTCCCTCCTCCTTCCCAGCTGCCGGAGTGACCTGTTCACCCCTGAGACTCCGGGAGTGAGAGTTTCCTTTTCTCCCCACTCTTTTATAAGCTTCTATTTTAGACTTTAAATAAGTTCCCTCCCCCCCCAGCCTTAAAAAGCAATGCTTTTCTATATATAGCAAAAGTCATAACAAAATCAATACTAAAGATGAAATTTTGGGGGAGAAAGATCATAGTGGGAGTTTAGTCCATTCTTGCCTACTTTGGTATTTGCAAGAGCGAGCCTGGCGCTCCCGACCCCCTGCAAAGCGCTGGGATGCAGGGCTGGGAGGCGAAAGCCTTGTCTGTCCCTGACCCTGTGGCCAACGGAGTGACCCCGTCTCTTGTCTGCAGTCCTCCTACTTCGGGGACATCAGCATGGGGACCCCCCCGCAAAACTTCACGGTGCTCTTCGACACGGGCTCCTCCAACCTGTCCACCTACGGCCAGACGGAGGCGTGCCGTGAGTACTGCGGCCGCGCGGCGCGGAGCTCCCCCGGCAGCACGGCGCAGCCCCATCGTGCGGGGGGAAATCGCGATGCCAGACCAAAAACGATCCCGACGCGCTGCTCGGGGACGGCTGCTGCTCTTGCCCACCTTGCTTGGGGAAACACAGAGCTTATGTCCTTCCATGCCTGGCTAAAGGTGGCCAAATCGCTACAGCCATCGTGGGTGTCCCCGGAGCGCGGAAATCGCAGTGGTTGTGCCTGACCTTTCGTGGCCGGGCAGAGGGAAGAGCGAAGCTACGAACTGCCGAGCTGACGTCCCGCTCCCTGGCACAGTTCATCCGATGTGACTCGCTGCCGGCGGGAGAGCGATGGGCGTTTGAGTGCTGATGGCTTTGCTCCCGCTGGGTGGCTGATGTGGTTGTGATCTGGTCCCTGGAGAGGGATGCAGGCAAAGCTGGGATGCAAACCCCGCCTTAGAGATAACCGCGAGGCAGAGGAACAGCCCGGGCCATGCTTCAGGACTTGTTCTCTGCTGGGGAAGCCGCTTCCCCAGGCGTTATCCCGGCAGAGCGACCGGCGGTGAAATCCCACCGCAGCCAGGCGAGCGCGGGCCCAGAAGCTTTGCCCTCTTCTCTCTCCTGCAGAAAATCACGCAACGTTCAACCCCAGTGAGTCCTCCACCTTCGTCTCCAACGGCCAGACCTACACCCTCTCCTACGGCAGTGGCTCGCTCACGGTGGTGCTGGGCTACGACACGCTGTCGGTGAGTGCACCCCGCGCCATCCTGGTCTCCTTGGGCGCTGTGTCCCCAGCACCACCTGGATGCCCCGATGGCAGGAGCCTGGGGGACAGCCTGAGGGCAGATCTCATGTCTTGTGTAGGCAAGACTTGGGCAAACCAGTGCCTGAGATGGGCAGAACCGGTATAAAGTGGTTATTGCCACCGTCAGTTACCCAGCTGGGTTTTTACTTTGTTTTAACCTAATTCCTGCTAATTCTCCCAGCTGCCTGGTGATGTTTTCACCCGCTATGACCTTGCAGGGTGCATTTAGGGCTCTCAGAGCATCAGCATGGGTTTGCCTAAGCAGGCAGGCTGACCTGGTGTCCCCTTCCCCTCCAGATCCAGACCATCTCGGTCACGAACCAGGAGTTCGGGCTCAGTGAGAGCGAGCCATCCGAGCCTTTCTACTACGCCGACTTTGATGGGATCATGGGAATGGCCTACCCCTCGCTGGCAGTGGGAGAGACGTCCACTGCGATGCAGGGCATGCTGCAGCAGAACCAGCTCACCGAGCCCATCTTCAGCTTCTACTTCTCTCGGTAAAAACCTGCCGGGGCCCTCTGCATGTCCTATGTCCACCCCTGTCCCTCTGCCTGTCCCCACGCAGATTCCTTGTGAGTTTTTCCCTCGCTAGCCCCTGCACATCGCACTGATTTACCAGTTTCTGCTGCTGTAACTCTGTGGTTTTTGCAGCCAACCCACCTACAGCTATGGGGGAGAGCTCGTTCTCGGAGGAGTTGACAATCAGCTCTTCACTGGGAGCATCATGTGGGCACCGGTGACCCAGCAGCTTTACTGGCAGATCGCAATTGATGAGTGAGTTGTGTTTGTACCTCGTGGGCATGATCCACTCGGGCAGCTCATGTGACGAGGGTGGTGCAGCTGTCCTCCAGAGGAAGCTGCAGCTATCGCAGCAGGGTGGGCTCGAGGCAGGGGGTGGATTTCGGAGCAATCCCAGATTTATAGATCCAGCCAAGACAGGTTTAGTTGCCGGTGGGTGCTTAAAGCGACGTTCTTCTCCCTTTTCTCCTCCCAGGTTTGCTGTGGGACAGTCTGTGACTGGCTGGTGCAGCCAGGGCTGCCAGGCCATCGTGGACACCGGGACGTACATGCTGACGATGCCCCAGCAGTACATGTACAGCTTCCTCGAGGCCGTGGGTGCCCAGGAGACCAGCTACGGTGTAAGTGTAGGGGACGCTTTGGAGGTGCCTGTGGATCAGTGGGGAGGCTTGCAAGTGAGCCAGGGGCCGTGGGCTTGGCCAGGTCCCACAAAACTCGTGTGGCATCTACGGAACACGGTGCCGCAGGCCTGTCAGGGAAGGACGAGGCAACGTGGCGCTGCTAGGGGATAAAGTGTATGTCCCCCCTGTGTGCGGGGGTCTCTCTCCTCTCGCAGTGGGTGCTGTTCCAGCCATAACCTCCTCTTCACCCTCTCTCTGCAGTATGCAGTTGACTGCAACACGGTCCAGAGCTTGCCCACCATCACCTTCATCATCAACGGCTACCAGCTCCCGCTCCCGCCCTCCGCCTACATCTTGAACGTACGTATAAGCTGAACACCTTCATCCTGCTGAGTCCTTGAGGGCCAGGAAAGGAGCCAGCCCTTCTTGACGAGTAGCAATGCTCTCCCTACCCGGGCGGGCAGATCCCACCTCCCTGCAGCCCAGCTGGCAGGGTCCTGGTGCTTGTTGGAGGCTCTGACTCTCTGTTATTCTCCCCTTACAGAGCAACAACTACTGCACTGTTGGGGTCGAGGCCACTTACCTGCCTTCCCAGAATGGGCAGCCACTCTGGATCTTGGGTGACGTTTTCCTCAAGGAGTATTACAGTGTCTTTGACATGGCTAACAACCGCGTCGGCTTCGCCACATCGGCGTAGAGGAGTGGAGCAGCAAAATCCAGCCCCTCTCCTGGCCAAACACACCTTAGCCAGCATTGCTGGAGCTCTGCGGGGTTCCTGTGCACCTTTGTGTCCCCTTACGTGCCTGCATGGCTCCCTGTCCCTCCGGGATTTCTCTGTAAGTGTGTTCTCACAGTCTCCTGTTACAAATAAACCCCAGCATCCCAAACCATCTCTGGCCTCCTGAGTTTGTTGAGTGACGACTGAGCGCAGATTGATGGGTTGGGTGTCTCAGACACTCTCTCTCCAGCAAGCAAGTGCCGCGATAAAACTCCTGGGCAGATTTCTGCAGAGTCAGCACGGGGAAAGCAATGGGGAAGCTGCCCCTGGACTGCTTCAAATCTAAAGGCGACGTATTTATGTTTTTTGCAAAGGGGTATGACAAGCTGTCAGCTCCTGAAGGCCGTGGGACTGAGTCTCTGCCTCTATCTATAGTGAATTACTGAGCTTGGGGGTGGCTCTGACGAACGCAGCAGGCTCCGAGCTGCAGCCCAGCTCACAGCCCGATGGA